CCCATCTATAAATTACATTGAACAACCATGGTGACATCACACATTCTTGTCTAAGGCCTACTTTTACTGGGAAATAATCTCCCTCTCTCCTACATACTCTAACCTGAGCCTCACTATCCTCGTAAAAACTCATCACTGCTTTCAGTAACCTACCTCCTATACCATACACCTGCAACATCTGCCACACATTGCGCCCCATCCACCCTGTCATTCGTCTTTTCAAAATCCATTAATGCCACAAAAACCTCTTTACCCTTATCTAAATACTGTTCACCTATATGTTTCACTGTAAACACTTTGTCTACACGACCCCTACCCTTTTTAAAGCCTCCTTGTTCATCTGCTGTCCGACTCTCCATCTTACTCTTAATTCTTTCAGTAATAACTCTACCATACGCTTTACCAGGTATACTCGACTGACTTTTTTTTTTCAATAAACCGGCCGTATCCCACCGAGGCAGGGTGGCCCAAAAAGAAAAACAAAAGTTTCTCTTTTTAGATTTAGTAATTTATACAAGAGAAATCGTTACTAGCCCCTTGCCTCCGGCATTTTAGTCGCTTCTTACAACACGCATGGCTTATGGAGGAAGAATTCTGATCCACTTCCCCATGGAGATAAGAGGAAGTAAGCAAGAAGAACTAGAAAGAAAATAGAAAACCCAGAGGAGTGTGTGTATATATACAGTGGAACCTCAAATATTGAACTTTCTTCGTTCCAGACGGCTGTTCGAGTGCCGTTATCAAACAAATTTATTCCCATCAGGAATAATGTAAATTAGATTAGTTCATTTCTGACCCTCAAAAATACACTTATAAAAGCACTCACAAAAATACACTTACATAATTAGTTGAATTGGGAGCAGTTCGATATTTGAGGTTCCACTGTATGCTTGTACATGTATGTGTAGTGTGACCTAAGTGTAAGTAGAAGTAGCAAGACGTACCTGATATCTTGCAATCCTACCATCATGTAAAACAATTACAGGCTTTCGTTTTACACTCACTTGGCAGGACGGTAGTACCTCCCTGGGCGGTTGCTGTTTACCAACCTACTACCTAAACTCAACAGACTTTTTTTTTTTTTTTTTTTTTTTTCCAACAAGTCGGTCGTCTCCCACCGAGGCAGGGTGACCCAAAAAAAAGAAAGAAAATCCCCAAAAAGAAAATACTTTCATCATCATTCAACACTTTCACCACACTCACACATTATCACTGCTTTTGCAGAGGTGCTCAGAATACAACAGTTTAGAAGCATATACGTATAGAGATACACAAACATATCCCTCCAAACTGCCAATATCCCAAACCCCTCCTTTAAAGTGCAGGCATTGTACTTCCCATTTCCAGGACTCAAGTCCGACTATATGAAAATAACCGGTTTCCCTGAATCCCTTCACTAAATATTACCCTGCTCACACTCCAACAGATCGTCAGGTCCCAAGTATCATTCGTCTCCATTCACTCCTATCTAACACGCTCATGCACGCTTGCTGGAAGTCCAAGCCCCTCACCCACAAAACCTCCTTTACCCCCTCTTTCCAACCCTTTTGAGGACGACCCCTACCCCTCTTTCCTTCCCCTATAGATTTATATGCTTTCCATGTCATTCTACTTTGATCCATTCTCTCTAAATGACCAAACCACCTCAACAACCCCTCTTCTGCCCTCTGACTAATGCTTTTATTAACTCCACACCTTCTCCTAATTTCCACACTCTGAATTTTCTGCATAATATTTACACCACACATTGCCCTTAGACAGGACATCTCCACTGCCTCCAACCGTCTCCTCGCTGCTGCATTTACCACCCAAGCTTCACATCCATATAAGAGTGTTGGTACTACTATACTTTCATACATTCCCTTCTTTGCCTCCATAGATAACGTTTTTTGACTCCACATATACCTCAACGCACCACTCGCCTTTTTTCCCTCATCAATTCTATGATTAACCTCATCCTTCATAAATCCATCCGCCGACACGTCAACTCCCAAGTATCTGAAAACATTCACTTCTTCCATACTCCTCCTCCCCAATTTGATATCCAATTTTTCTTTATCTAAATCATTTGATACCCTCATCACCTTACTCTTTTCTATGTTCACTTTCAACTTTCTACCTTTACACACATTCTCAAACTCATCCACTAACCTTTGCAATTTTTCTTTAGAATCTCCCATAAGCACAGTATCATCAGCAAAAAGTAACTGTGTCAATTCCCATTTTGAATTTGATTCCCCATAATTTAATCCCACCCCTCTCCCGAACACCCTAGCATTTACTTCTTTTACAACCCCATCTATAAATATATTAAACAACCATGGTGACATTACACATCCCTGTCAAACCTACTTTTACCGGGAAGTTTTCTCTCTCTCTTCTACACACCCTAACCTGACCTCACTATCCTCATAAAAGCTTTTACAGCATTTAGTAACTTACCACCTTTCCATAACAAAAGACCCTCCGAAAACTTTCTTTTTTCTTTTTTTGTCCTTGCCAGTACAGAACCGAATTTTTCCTCATAAGCAATCTGAAGTAATTCCATTTCGACCCCATAACTAAACGTAAACAAACCACTACAGAAATATCCACTACTTAACATAATTTTGTTCTCTCATCCGTGCTACACCCTTATTCTCCAAGCGGAATTCCACTTACAATGCTTTCAACCTCAAATGTTACTCTTGCCCTATCCTAATCCACTTCCCTAATTTATTGCATTTTTTTTTTTTTTGATACCCCTTTCCCTTTAACAAAGGAATTATGCTCCATCTAACTACCACTTCTCTAGGTTCCTTACCTCTTCCTACATTTTAAATAAACCCACCCACCCTTCCATTATCAATATACCCATCTCTTTCTAACAATCTATTTTATCTATCTTAACGCCTCTGCTTACACCCTTTCTTCTCCCACTGCCTCTAAATTTCCCTCATCGACTGCACTTCCTACCCTACAAAATGTTATTCTCCTTGCCCTATACATAAATCACAGTTCCCTATCTTCATAACATTTAAAAATTCCAGTAATATTCCTCCTTTCGATACCTCTAATCTCTCCATTTAATACTCTCTTTCATTTTAATTCTATACTGTCACTTTTACCCTCCGCCCTTGTTTATTATACAAAGAACTTTATTAATCTTAACAGAACTGCATTGTTCATCTATGTTAAAGTACCTACTGTTCAGGAGGGCCCTGCTTTACAGTACGTATTTGGCTAATGCAGTGGTTTTCAGTTATACCCATTGTTCATTTATTTATGCTTCTTACAGTAAATACATTCACCACTCACTGTAAGCTAAGGATGAAAATACTTTAAGGTAAGTAATGTGTGTATTGTACTGTATATACATTTTTGAGACCTAGCTCTATTGCTCACTTAATATGTGATAATGTAAACATGTTATCAGGATTTTATATGTATTTGAAAGTGAAAAAGGCTATGTTTCACATTACAGCAATTTCTGCTTTACAGTGGTAGCTCAGAACCTAACCTGCTGTATAAGAGGGGCACTCCTGTATATTAATCCATATTAACTCTTAAGCAAGTTGCAGTATACATCATTTGAAGAAACTTTGGATGACAATTTAATCTGTCATGGACGAAGAGGGAAATGTAGACTGATGAATGACTTTTTCTTCCTTAGTATCATCAAGCTTTCATTGTTGTTACTGATGTAAACACTGACTTGGTCTGTTTTTCTTGTTTGTATTCTTCTCTCAAGTCACTTTTTTTTTCTTATTTTTTGCACTATCTAGGTACATTTGGATATTTTATTGACTCATCCAGATTAACCCTTTGACTGTTTTGGTCGTATATATACGCCTTACGAGCCAGTGTTTCGGACGTATTAATACGCATAAATTCTAGCGGCTTCAGATCAAGCAGGAGAAAGCTGGTAGGCCCACATGTGAGAGAATGGGTCTGTGTGGTCAGTGTGCACCACATAAAAAAAATCCTGCAGCACGCAGTGCGTTATGAGAAAAAACTGACCATTTTTTTTGGATTAAGACACCGACTTTGAGCTGTATTTTTGTATCGTATTTATCATTGTATTCTCGTTTTCATGGTCTCACGTGATAAAATGGAAAACATATTACAGAAATAGAGATGATATTGAGTAGTTTCATGATGAAAACGACCTTGAAATTGAGCTTGAAGTAGTGGAAATGTTCGATTTTTACCAATGTTCAGGAGTAAGCAAATCACACCACATGTCCAATACACATCAACTGGGGAGTCTAATATTCTTTCACTAGTGCACTGATATCATTTATACCATTTTTACAATAATGCAGTAGTCTGCATAACAGTAAATTTTGTATTTTTTGTATGAATAAAAAAATCAAAATAGAATGCAATAGTAATATAAGAGGGGCGTAGAGACATAACTAATGAACAGAGGATATGTTATTTTAGTGCCAGGAATGTCTACATTGTTTATTCTGGACCCAATTTTGAAATTGGCATCTTTTGATTTGTGTAAAATTGGCCAAATTGCCAATTTCTGACCACTTTATTTGGTAGTTCAAATCGGTAAATGGGTGATTTCTCGTACTCAACTGATAGAAAAAATGGAGTTCTAAAGAAATAGCTATGAGTTTGGTCAACTGGAACAACGGAATTGGCCAAAAACAGGGCTCAAAGTCGGCGAAACTGCTGCTGCGTATGTCGCCGAGACCGCTAACTTCACGGGAGCATAATTCTGTGAGTTTTCGGCCAAATTTCATGCTTTTGATGTCATTACCGTCGGGAAGAGATTCTCTATCATTTCATAAGAAAAATAATTTATTTATTTATTTTTTTTTTTTTTTTAAATTTAGCGACATAGAATGACAGTTTCAGAAAGGGGCTTGCTACAGTCAAAGTGTTAAATGCCACCTAATTCTATGAGAAATCTTTGTTTTTTAATTCTCAAGGCAAAGTGTGCTTTTGTATGGTGATTTGATGAAGCATCAGGTTATTAACTTTTTTCACTTTTTTTTTTTTTTTAGGTTGCTGATCAGGTTACGTGCGTGCGATGTTCTAGCAATGGAAAGTTCGTAGCTGTAGCAACGCTGGACCTAAAGGAAACACTCTATTTCTCTGATACTTTAAAGGTTAGAACAATATTTTAATCTTTCTTTGTAAAATACAGTGGACCCCCGGTTAACGAACTTTTTTCATTCCAGTAGTATGTTCAGGTGCCAGTACTGACCGAATTTTTTCCCATAAGGAATATTGTGAAGTAGATTAGTCCATTTCAGACCCCCAAACATACACGTACAAACGCACTTACATAAATACACTTACATAATTGGTCGCATTTGGAGGTGATCGTTAAGCGGGGGTCCACTGTATATAGTTTCCTGAAAATTGATACTTACTGATCTATATGGTAGAGGAGTAATAAATATATAGTGAGAAGAGTATATTTTCATGAAGTAGTATTGAAAGGACTGAAACATTAATGATCACCATTATTTAGTGTTTGCAGCAAGTAGAGGAAAGAATGGTGGTAGACCTAAGATAGGATAGGATAGAGTAAGAGCAAAGATGCAGGATTTTTTGAAAGCTACTTCTTTATATATATATATTTTTATATAATGGAGAACGTTTTACATGGAGATTGCCTTCAAGGGGGCATGTTGATGCTCATGAAGGGCTCTTGGTCTGAAGGATTGGAGCTGTCCTTCCCAACCTTAGCTCAAACCTGATTACCTCCCATTCCTCAGGCATTGTATTACCCTTATGAGTTAAGTTTTCCCATAAATATAATAATAATAAAATAGTTACATCGGCATTCAGCCATTTTGCAAAAGTTGTAGATAAAATAACTTTGGTAATGGCCTTTTTTAATTTTAGAATATTTGAAATTAAAATGCTTTAAAGATGTAAATACAGCATATTTTTCGATCTTTGCAATGCTTCAGGTATTTTTAAAAAATATATTATATATTTTTTCACCCAGCTGTGTCATGAACTATATGGAAAATCTCTTCCTACCACATGCATGGATTTCTCTACTGATGCAACTATTATAGTAACTGGTAGTAAGGACACAAGCCTCCGCATATATGGAACAGATTTTGGTGATCAGAGAAGGTAAATTATATAGTTTCAACTTTTACTTATTTTTGTAAATATGTACTGTACATGATTTACTTTACCTGCCAAGAGTGGCAAGACTGCAGAAGAATTAGATGAGGATGACAGCTTGTTTTCTAAACAAGAAAAATTAATGTGAATCAGAGGGAATATCTTCAAATATTGAAATTAAAAATAATAATGTTTACCCCTAAACGGTCCAAACGTATATATACGTTCTTATGCTAGCACCCTAAACGTATATACAGTGGACCCCCGAGTTTTGGCAGCCTTGACTTTCGTGAAATTCGACCTTCGGCGAGTTTTTTTTTGGAAAAATTTGGCCTTGAGTTTCGTGAAAAAACTCGGGTTTCGGCGACCGTCCGGTACCTGTCCGCCTGTCACCGCACACACAATGCCAGTCTCCCACGCCATTCACGCTCAGTATGCCATTGTTTACCAACACATGACCATCACCCCGTGGGTTCATACAATACATTTCATAATAATCCATTGTTTTTTGTACTTGCAACTGCTAAATAAGTCATCATGGACCCAAGGAAAACTAGTGCAAGCCCTTTGGTAAATAAAGTGAGTGACGGGGATGTGGAAGAGTTGGTGGAGGACCACAGGGAAGAGCTAAACACTGACGAACTGCAAGGGCTTCAACTGGAACAGCATCAGACCACAGCCAAGGAATTTGCTTCAGAGGAGAAGGAAGAGGGAGTGGATGAGGTGTCTTCTTCAGTGATTAAGGTCATGTGTGGAATGTGGAATGAGTTGCAAAGTTTTGTTGAAAAGTATCGACCTGACCAAGCTGAAACAAGCCGTAACCCCAGATAAGGACTTGCTACCTAAAGTCCTAATGGAAGGAGATTCCTTCCAAACAATAGTGTACACCTTCCTCCTATCACCTTCTCCCATCTTCCATCCACCCAGAAGTCTTCAGTAAAGGTAAGTGTAATGTTATTATTATTTATTTTAAATGCATGTATACTTGATTTCTGATTGTTTTCATTATGTAAATCTTTATTTAATTTGAAAAAAATATTTTAATATTTTTGGGTGTCTGGAACGGATTAATTTTATTTTCATTATTTCCCATGGGGAAAATGGTTTCGAGTTTCGTGAATTTCGACCTTCGATGGGCTCTCTGGAACGGATTAATCATGAAACATGGGGGTCCACTGTATACATTTTAATTTTCCTGCTTCCAAATTTGGCACGATTGGCCGGAGATGCCTGGTCAGCATAGAATGAGTCTTAACACTCTATGTGCACCATATTAATAAATCTGGGACCGATTAGTACCTTGTGGGAGCGCCAGTTAAATTGAGTGCCAGCTCGAGCAAACAGTGCGGCAGACACCAAGGATTCACTGACGTAATGTCATATTAACACTCCCCTTTTAAGAGGAAAGTGATGTTAACCCCAAGTTTAGGGTCTATCTATCTCTGTCTATCTCCATCTATCTGTCTCTGTCTATCTGCCTCTATCTATCTGTCTCTATCTTTTTATCTGTCTTACAGGTACACACAGATACAATTATACTTCTTCCTTCTTCCTTCTTCTTCTGTACTCCCGTGTATCCAAAACATTGCAGGGACCTATAAATACTTGTACAGTGGACCCCCGACTTACGATATTAATCCGTTCCTGAGAGCACATTGTAAGACGAAATTATCGTAAGCCGAATTAATTTTCCCCATAAGAAATAATGGAAATCAAATTAATCCTTGCAAGACATCCAAAAGTGTGCAAAAAATTTTTTACCACATGAAATATACATTTTCCTACTCACAAAAAGAAGGATACATGCACAATAGTAGAGTAGTACATGCACAATATATATTGTGCTTGTACTATACTAAATGAAGAATAAATGACACCTTTATTGAAGATGCAGCAATGACTGATGAGACACTGTGTCCTGGGAGTGCCTTTTCCTCCTGAGTAATGTAGGTCCTGTTTGGCATTTTCTTGCAGAACAGGCCTTATCACACTGTGTATGCCACTACGATTCTTAAATCTCTCAAACCAACCTTTGCTGGCCTTAAATTCACCAATATGAGCACTAGTTCCAGGCATTTTTTCCTGTTCACCTGGGTGTTAGTCGACTAGTGTGGGTCGCATCCTGGGAGACAAGATTAAGGACCCCAATGGAAATAAGTTAGACAGTCCTTGATAACACAATGACTTTTTTTTGGGTTATCCTGGGTGGCTAACCCTCTGGGGTTAATTGTTTCTTGGTATTCTCGATAAGCCACACCAACAATGGTGCTACAGCAGCAGCAGCGCCTGACAGTGCTACAGCAGCAGCAGCAGCTGATGGTGCTACAGCAGCAGCAGCAGCAGCTGACGGTACTACAGCAGCAGCAGTAGCTAACGGTGCTACAGCAGCAGCAGCAGCTGATGGTGCTACAGCAGCAGCAGCAGCAGCTGATGGTGCTACAGCAGCAGCAGCAGCTGATGGTGCTACAGCAGCAGCAGCAGCTGATGGTGCTACAGCAGCTGCAGTAGCTGACCGTGGTACGATAGTATTTCGATAATATTTCTCACCCTTTTTACCACAGGGTTGGCACTAGAAGCTTTCTTTGGGCTCAGGGTGGCTTATTTAGCAGTTAGAAGCACTAAAACACTGGAATAATACAAAATATTCTGAATGTATGTGTGGGAGCCACCATTCTGGCTTGTAAACATTGGCACACTAACTGAAGGCAGGCCAGCTGAGGCGCACTCAGGCGGACAGACATGTGGACGCGGTACCCGACGAATGCCGTAGGTCAAGTTTTTCAACGTACTTCGAGGTCAAATTTTTACGCTGAAAAGCATCGTAGGTTGGTTTTAACGTAGGCTGGGGACATCGTACGTTGGGGGTCCACTGTATGTATTCCTAGACAATAGTAAATGACCAAGGCAGGTGTAAATGTCCACCTGTCAATGTGTTTGTGACAATTTGAGTACAATTTCTGTACCTAATATTAGTGTCAGAACAAAAATTGGTTATGAAATGCCAAGAACTACAATAAATTGTCATTATCAGAACATAAAAATTATACAAAATAATATAGAAATGAGAACAAATGGTATATCGGCAACACTTCCTCTAGCGGCAGGACTCAGTGTTGCCGTCAGGTGAGCATTAACTGCCAACTTTGCAGCTTCATATCTCAATAAGTACTGACCCTAATTTTTATATTTTAATCCTATAACACTTCGAAAATTTTTCTCTTTATTTCAATGAAAAAAAAAAAGATTTTTTTTATTTTTCAAATTATTCGGGGCACTGGGGAAGAGAACGTATATATACGTTTGGACAGTTTAGGGGTTAAAATTTATATTGAGTGACTCTTATACAGCCTTTCCTCACTTAGCGACATACTTGTTTACCGACGACTCAGACTTACGACGGGCTCTCTGACCAATATGCATACCTAAATAATGTATATTAGAGCTGATTTCCTCTTATTCTGTTTATTACAATATACAGTACACTACTGTATAAACACTTTAAAATATTCTAATAATATTATAAATGGTGCAAAGGTGACATTAAAACAACAACAAAGATGGTGACAAACCCACTACCATTATAGTATGCTCCTTGCTTAGTGATGAATTCATTTACCAATGAGGTCTTAGGAATGGAACTCCATTGTTAAGTGAGGAGAGGCTATATAACATGATCCCCTCCTATTTCATCTTAAAATACATTGCTTTGCTATACTGTGTCAAGTGATTCTACCTGGAGTGTGTTCTGAGGGCTATCGTCCTCATGGACCATTGGCTGACCTGATCAACCAGGTGCTACCCACAGAATCCAACATAATCACTACAATCTGGCTGATCAGGCACTGACTTGAGAAACTTGTTCATTTTTTCTTGAAGACAGCCAAGGGTTTGTTAGTAATTAGACATTTTCCCCCTTATATATGAAGGGAAGACATTGAAAAGTCATGGTATCTTTACACTTATTGAATTTTTCCATACTGTACTTTACATTACAGGAATTTTCCACCATCTGGCAAGCCTTGTACTTACTTTCATGGGATACAATTTGTGAGACAGATTTGGGATCAGTCGTACTTGAGTTTTCCAGTTGTATATGATAATGTACCTCTACGTTTCAAGGAGTACAGATTGAGGCACTTAAAGTGTTTCCTAGTAATTTACGTGCTTGACTGAATCTATGCAAGCTACAAAAGTTCTCAGCACATCCTCCAGGTCTACAACTTCATCATCATTGAATGGAGCTGTTAGAGTACAGCAGTACTCCAGCCTAGAGAGAGAACAAGTAACGTAACCCTCTGAATGACTGTCATCTAGATCTGTGTCATTGAGACAAGGGTCACTCGTATAATTTTACATCATAAGCTAAGCTCACTTAAATAAACTATGAACAGTAAATTTTGGCCTAGATATGAGAATATGGGTCTGTGCTGTGAGTGCACAGTATAAGAAAAATCCTGCCTCACTTCATGAATGATGGGAAAAAGCAAAACTGTGTGTATGGTTTAATATAGGGTCTTTGAGGTGATTTTTCAGATGGTTTTTAGTTTTATTGGCTGTTTCTTGGCATTATTTGATAGAATGGAAGATATTCTACCAGTTAGTTTAAGGACCAGAAGTAGGTTAAAATTGAAGTCAAAGTATCAGAAATATTTGATTTTTGCCACTTTTCCTGAGGATGAGTAAGGCTTCCCTTATACCCCCCATCAGTTTTATAGGGTTTTTAGTAGGTCTTGATTCAATTTTTGGGGCACCCTAAACCATGACCAATCATTCTTGGTTATACTTTATTTTCCAAGAAATAGAGTAAATCTTCTATTTATGTGTGATGAAGAATTGAGAATGGAAGGTAATTGTAATATAGGAGAGGCCTGTGGATGTTATTGATGAACAGAGAAAATGTTGTTTTAGTGCCAGGAATGTGTGCATTGTTTATTTTTACATTAGTATTTTTTTTTATTTTGTGTACAGCTGACCAAATTACTGACTTCTGTGCACTTTGCAGGGTAGTTGTAATAGTTGAATGGGCACTTTCTTGTGTCTAGTCAATAGAACAGATAGCATACTAGCAAAATAGCTAAGAATTTGGTTAAATATAACAATGGAACTGGCTTAAAGTAGGACTCAAAGTGTATGAAATTGCAATTGCATGTACTACTAGAGTCTGTTAACATTGTGCCTGTGTAATTTTGTAAGCTTTCCATCAAATTTCATACTTTTGGTGTCATTGCCTTTAGAAAAAGATTTTTACCATTTCAGATGATTTTTTTTTTTTAATTAGAAAAAAATTGGACACTGAGAGCAATATTAATTTTGGGGATCTTGGTAGTGAAAGGGTTAAAATTAAATTATGTTTCAGTTATTGCAGTAGCATCAGTGTTTCCTCACACATGCTACCAAATGTAATTTCATTTATCTTATTCCTGGTGCTTCAACTATTAGTACAGCCTCTCCTCACTTAGCGACGTACTCGTTTACCGATGACTTGGACTTATGACGGGATCTTTGACCAGTATGCTTTTTTTTTTTTTTTTTTTCAACAAGTCGGTCGTCTCCCACCGAGGCAGGGTGACCCAAAAAAAGAAAGAAAATCCCCAAAAAGAAAATACTTTCATCATCATTCAACACTTTCACCACACGCACTTTATCACTGTTTTTGCAGAGGTGCTCAGAATACAACAGTCTAGAAGCATACACACATAAAGATACACAACATATCCCTCCAAACTGCCAATATCCCAAACCCCTCCTTTAAAGTGCAGGCATTGTACTTCCCATTTCCAGGACTCAAGTCCGACTATATGAAAATAACCGGTTTCCCTGAATCCCTTCACTAAATATTACCCTGCTCACACTTCAACAGATCGTCAGGTCCCAAGTACCATTCGTCTCCATTCACTCCTATCTAACACGCTCACGCACGCTTGCTGGAAGTCCAAGCCCCTTGCCCACAAAACCTCCTTTACCCCCTCTTTCCAACCCTTTCGAGGACGACCCCTACCCCTCCTTCCTTCCCCTATAGATTTATATGCTTTCCATGTCATTCTACTTTGATCCATTCTCTCTAAATAACCAAACCACCTCAACAACCCCTCTTCTGCCCTCTGACTAATACTTTTATTAACTCCACACCTTCTCCTAATTTCCACACTCCGAATTTTCTGCATAATATTTACACCACACATTGCCCTTAAACAGGACATCTCCACTGCCTCCAACCGTCTCCTCGCTGCTGCATTTACCACCCAAGCTTCACACCCATATAAGAGTGTTGGTACTACTGTACTTTCATACATTCCCTTCTTTGCCTCCATAGATAAGGTTTTTTGACTCCACATATACCTCAACGCACCACTCACCTTTTTTCCCTCATCAATTCTATGATTAACCTCATCCTTCATAAATCTATCCGCCGACACATCAACTCCAGTATGCATACCTAAATAATGTATATTAGAGCTGATTTATTACAATATACAGTACACTACTGTATAAACATTTAAAAATATACTAAAAATGTTATAAATGATGCATAGGTGACATTAAAATAATATCAAAGATAGTTGACACAAACCCACTACCATTATAGTATGCTTCTTACTTAGTGACGAATTCATTTACCAGCGTGAGCTTAGGAAAAGAACTCTGTCGTTAGTGAGGAGAGGCTGTATATTATTTTTTTCCATCTTGAGATTAATAGTAATAAAAGACTATAATTTTTTTTTAAACACACTGCCTGTATCCCACCAAGGTAAGGTGACTAAAAGAAGAAAATACTCGCCATCATTCATTCATTTGGCAAGACAGCTACTGATTGAAGGATGGTGCATGTATTTAATTTTTTTTTTTTTGAGGGTGGGGGTTACTCTACTTTGATGGAAGATGATTGGTGTGTTCAAGTATTAAAAAATGCTTTGTATAATGCTTGTTTGTGTATTATCAGATTAATGAAAAATGCTCATCAAGGAGGGGTGACAGGTCTTCAGTTTATCTCAAAAACCCACATGTTCTTTTCTTGTGGTCAAGATGGCACAGTAAAGCAGTGGGATGCTGACAACTTTCAGAAGATTATTACTCTTCAGGGTCACACTGGAATCGTCAGGTTAGTTTTAAGCTGTATTTTAGAAGTTCATATGTTTTTCTCCATTATTTGACCATTGTTTATAATTCTTATGCTGCCTTTATTATTCTTATATCAGCTTTATTGAATATTATCAGTGATGCACAGAATTTATATACAATTATCAGGTGTCTAGCAGTTTGTCCAAAAGGTGCGTGGGTGGTAAGTGGTGGACAAGATTATTCAGTTCGGCTCTGGGAACGCACCAAGGAACTTTTGATATTAGAAGAAGAGCGTGAAGAGGAACGCAGAAAGGAAGAGGAGGAAGGGGCAACCAATGCTGCTCAAAGGCCTGTATTGTCAGGTGAAGAAGGAGCACAGGCAGTCAGGCCAACCATTACAAGTCATCACACAGAAAAGGCTGTTAGTTCAGTGTAAAAGATCTATAAATAATGTAACTAATAATCCATGTATATCTTAATGGAAGCAAGGTTCAACTTTCTGCATTATAGATATGGTAGTTTATTTAAATAATGGGCTAGTTGGTATCTTCACTTTATTGTTACATCAAAGACTTTTCATAGCACTTATACCTGACTGTCTTCAAGAGAGAACTAGATATGGTTCTAAAGTCAGTCCCTAATCAGCTGGGATATGGTTTGTATGTTGAACATCATGTAGCTAGCATCAACAGTCTGGTTGATAGGGCCATCCACTGGAAGGCCTGGTCTGGGATCGGACAGCTAGGGCATTGACCCTTGAAACACTCCAGATAGACTCAAGGCAGGTGGGAATGGGACAGTACCAAAATGTTTGCCAATACAGATACGTACTCAGTTTTAAGCCAATCCAGTTAGTCACTGATAATAATACAAGTACTTTGGCACATATCTAAATGAATAGATACATTTGTTCTAAAAAGCATGTATATATATATGATAGTGAGGCTTAGGTTAGGGTGTGTAGAAGAGAGGGAGACTACTTCCGGTAAAAGTAGGTCTTAGACAGGGATGTGTAATGTCACCATGGTTGTTTAATATATTTATAGATGGGGTTGTAAAGGAAGTAAATGCTAGGGTGTTCGGGAGAGGGGTGGGATTAAATTTTGGGGAATCAAATTCAAAATGGGAATTGACACAGTTACTTTTTGCTGATGATACTGTGCTTATGGGAGATTCTAAAGAAAAATTGCAAAGGTTGGTGGATGAGTTTGGGAATGTGTGTAAAGGTAGAAAGTTGAAAGCGAACATAGAAAAGAGTAAGGTGATGAGGGTATCAAATGATTTAGATAAAGAAAAATTGGATATCAAATTGGGGAGGAGGAGTATGGAAGAAGTGAATGTTTTCAGATACTTGCGAGTTGACGTGTCGGCGGATGGATTTGTGAAGGATGAGGTTAATCATAGAATTGATGAGGGAAAAAAGGTGAGTGGTGCATTGAGGTATATGTGGAGTCAAAAAACGTTATCTATGGAGGCAAAGAAGGGAATGTATGAAAGTATAGTAGTACCAACCCTCTTATATGGGTGTGAAGCTTGGGTGGTAAATGCAGCAGTGAGGAGACAGTTGGAGGCAGTGGAGATGTCCTGTTTAAGGGCAATGTGTGGTGTAAATATTATGCAGAAAATTCGGAGTGTGGAAATTAGGAAAAGGTGTGGAGTTAATAAAAGTATTAGTCAGAGGGCAGAAGAGGGGTTGTTGAGGTGGTTTGGTCATTTAGAGAGAATGGATCAAAGTAGAATGACATGGAAAGCATATAAATCTATAGGGGAAGGAAGGCGGGGTAGGGGTCGTCCTCGAAAGGGTTGGAGAGAGGGGGTAAAGGAAGTTTTGTGGGCAAGGGGCTTGGACTTCCAGCAAGCGTGCGTGAGCGTGTTAGATAGGAGTGAATGGAGACGAATGGTACTTGGGACCTGACGATCTGTTGGAGTGTGAGCAGGGTAATATTTAGTGAAGGGATTCAGGGAAACCGGTTATTTTCATATAGTCGGACTTTAGTCCTGGAAATGGGAAGTACAGTGCCTGCACTTTAAAGGAGGGGTTTGGGATATTGGCAGTTTGGAGGGATATGTTGTGTATCTTTATACGTATATGCTTCTAAACTGTTGTATTCTGAGCACCTCTGCAAAAACAGTGATAATGTGTGAGTGTGGTGAAAGTGTTGAATGATGATGAAAGTATTTTCTTTTTGGGGATTTTCTTTCTTTTTTGGGTCACCCTGCCTCGGTGGGAGACGACCGACTTGTTGAAAAAAAAAAAATATATGAATGATAGGTTAGTACAGGCATAGATAGCAATACTGTGTTCTGCCATAAAACATACTTACTACAGTGCAGTATATAAAATAGTTTGTTGAAACAACTTATTTGCATGAGCTCATCTCTGATAATATTTTTTTTTTTGTTTGTTTCTTGCCATAGGCTGATATGATATTGGAGGCCCTTATGATCTATCATGAGCAAATAGAAGCAGGTTCAGCAGCTGTACCACACCAACTGATGACATATGTTTACCACACTTCTGACCCACTGAAGTTTGTCCTTGAGGTACTCAGGAAGGTGAAATCAAGGTAATAAAGAGTGGAAATGTAGTTCAGATCTCCAAGGGGAAGTGGAACAGAATTCCTCCTCTGTAAGCCATGCGTGTCGTAAGAGGCGACTAAAATGCTGGGAGCAAGGGGCTAGTAACCCCTTCTCCTGTATACATTACTTAAGTTAAAAAGAAAAACTTTTGTTTTTCTTTTTAACAAAAAGAAAACTTTTGTTTTTCTTTATGGGCCACCCTGCTTTGGTGGGATACAGTCAGCTTGTCGAAAGAAGATGTAGTTGAAAGAATCATTTGAATTGTAATGTTTATGCAGTTCTGGCAAGATAGTGACAATGCATGCTTTCCTCTTTAGGTTACCCTGCCTTGATGAGAAATGGGCACTGTTGTAAAAAAAAAAAAATCCAAAGATATGCCTTAAAAAGCCCCTTACTGTATAGTAGAAAGATGTTTACCATATATTATAGTGTACAACTTGGCTTTTTCAGCCTTGTATGAAAGTTGCTTAACATGGCAGAGGTGAAAATAAAGCCATGGCACATTACTGAAGGAGGGAAGTGACATCACTAGCCTACTGATGCTATCATGCTAATACCAGTAGCAGGTTTTATTTGCTTTATCTCACCTGTTTTATTTTTGTTGCACAGACATGTTTTTAATAAAAATGCCACATTTTATTAAAAATAATACCTAAAACACCAGAAAATAGAAAAACTTAAAGCTGGAGAAAATAAGTTGCATTACATCCTAATATTCCCCTAATGGTCATTATCAGTCTAATCAGCTGGTGTCATAACTTTCCTCACAGACTTCATGTCAGTTTTTGTGTATGTGCTCAGGAATGTGTGGTAAATTTTATTAATGTTTGTAGAATGTTGAAAGCCCCAAAATTAAGTGCTGACAGTGTTGGAAATCTAAAAAAAAAAAAAAAAAAATTCTGAAGGTAATGATGCAAAGAATACAAAATTTGATGTTGAAACCTATAGTACAGTGGACCCCCGGTTAACGATATTTTTTCACTCCAGAAGTATGTTCAGGTGCCAGTACTGACCGAATTTGTTCCCATAAGGAATATTGTGAAGTAGATTAGTCCATTTCAGACCCCCAAATATACACGTACAAACGCACTTACATAAATACACTTACATAATTGGTCGCATTCGGAGATGATCATTATGCGGGGGTCCACTGTATTATGCAGGTGCATAGCTGGTGGTCTGGGCACAGTTTAAGCATTGGCAGTTTGCTCATTTTCAGTCCTATTTTAACCTAATTCCATTGCTCAATTCATCCAAATTCTTAGCTAATTTGGAAGGTCATGCCTTTTTTTAGGTAGGCACAGGTATGTTTGAAACCTCAGACCTCTGGTAGCTCCAGTCATAACTTTTTTTTCAATAACCTAGCATGCCTTCTGCTTTTTTAATTAGTTTTTTTTTAAACAGTTTGTTTCAGTTGTATTCAGAAATATATGTTCAGCTTTATAATCTACTGAATATTACCATTGCATGTGAGGATTCTGCTTGCCCTCTCCCCTTGTCAGTGGAAACTTTTTAAATGTAGCATATTAATTTTCTTAAAAATGTTTAGTGCAAATAATTTAATTTTTAATTAGAATCTTTGACCAAAATTATGCTAAAAAGGTTCTACTTATAAAGCCTTGTCACAAATCAATAAACGTTGGTAGTGACTTCTCATCGACCATATCTTATTTTGCAGTGAACTTGAAGAAGCCATAATTTCTCTTCCTTTGGATCGTATTCTTGAATTGCTGGTGGTCATTAAGGGTCTTCTGGAGCATGACTGGGATGTGGAACTAGCCAGCAGGATCTTGGTGTTGGCAGCAAGAATTAACCTCCCTCAGTTATTGTCATCTGCTATGGCTGCTCCCATTATCCATACTCTTGCACATCTATTAACTCAGAAGACTCTCCAGCTGCAGGTTAGTACAGCATGCTGTAGTTATTTCAAAAACTGAAAGATGTTATCTTTTTTTTTTTACACATCACCCATTTCCTACCGAGGCAGGGTAACCCAAAAAGAAAGAAAAAAAAACTTTCATCAACTGCTAAGGAGGTATTACCATCCTGCCAGGTGAGTGTGAAACGGAAGCCTGTAATTGATTATATGATGGTAGGATTACTGGTGTCTTTGTTTCTATCTCATAAACATGTAAGATTTCAGGTGTATCTTGTTACTTTTACTTACACTTAGGTCACACTACACATGCATGTACATGTTCATGTATACACACTTGTCTGAGTTTTCTTTGATTTTATCTGAATACATGTAGTTCTTTTTCTTATTACTTTTCCTTTTATATCAATGAGGAAGTGGAATGAGAATCTTTCCTCCGTAAGCCATGTGCGTTGTAAAAGTCATTTAAAATGCTGGGAGAAATGGGCAGTAACCCCTTTTCCCGTACAGCTTACTAGAAATAAATAGAATGTTATAAATATAAAATGATAATCTTTTAATTTACTGAAAAATGAGACATTGCCCAAGATTCATCACTTCAGTAATTTCATTCACTTCACCTTTTCCTTCACTCGATTGAGTATATTGTGTTTGCATGTGACTTCACAGGGTGAGCATCTAGGATATTGCCAGGCAAGCATTTGAGTGCTGCTGTGTTTACTTCTTTCTGGTCATGACAGAGACATGGATTTTAAGATACCCGAGACCTGTTTTGACGTGAGTCGTACAAACAGAAGGGATCAGAAAGAAGGAGCATCCTTCTTTTTTAATCACACTCCTGTCTATGAAAAAATCTTAGAGGAAGGGACTTGGACACAGACAGATGCAGACACACACAGACACACACAGACACACACACAGACACACACAGACACACACAGACACACACACAGACACACACAGACACACACACAGACACAGACACACACAGACACACACAGACACACACACACACAGACACACACAGACACACACAGACACACACAGACACACACACACAGACACACACACACAGACACACACACACAGACACACACACACAGACACACACACACACAGACACACACACACAGACACACACACAGACACACACACACAGACACACACACACAGACACACACACACAGACACACACACAGACACACAGACACACACACACACAGACCACACACACACACAGACACACACACACACACAGACACACACAGCACACACACAGACACACACAGACACACACAGACACACACACACACACACACACACACACACACACACACACACACACACACACACACACACACACACACACACAGACACACACACACACACACACACACACAACACACACACACACACACACACACACACACACACACACACACAACACACACACACACACACACACACAATGAGTCAGAGAGATAGTAGGAAGTATTTCTTCAGTCATAGAGTTGTAAGGCAGTGGAATAGCCTAGAAAATGATGTAGTGGAGGCAGGAACCATACACAGTTTTAAGACAAGATTTGATAAAGCTCATGGAGCGGTGGAGAGAGAGGGCCCAGTAGCAACCGTGAAGAGGCGGGCCAGGAGCTAAGACTCGACCCCTGCAACCACAAATAGTGAGTAACACACACACACACAACACACACACACACACACACACACACACACACACACACACACACACACACACACACACACACACACACACACACACACAGGAGCAAGGACTAATGGGACTACAGCCCTGACAACAGTTTCGAGAGATAATGTTTTAGGACACACAGACAATACAATCTGAGAAGCAAGTATTGGGTACACATGTAGTAAAAGATAGTACATAACTGGGTGAAAGAATGACTTGTTAACACACGCTAGTATTATAATTATTAGAACTACTCTCAGTGTTAATGGTATCTCATTAGTATTACGGATACACAGAAGTGAATTGTTTTTCTGGGACATATAAACAACTGACGTGCTCA